ATTGTGCAAAGATCTTCTCAGCTCCAACTGGAGAATTTTTCGTTAAATGATCGTAACTGACTGCTGAATTTAGCTGTAAACAAAGATGAGAAATTTGCTGTTTTCCAACAATTTTCAACACAAAATAATCATGTAGAAATTGTTAGAAGCATAAAGATTATATTCAAGGGCATTAAAAAAATCACATATTTTGGCAGCTATTATGGCTTTAAACATGTAAAAAAATAAATGCGTTTGTATCAAATTGTAAGAGATTTATAGGTTTCTCAAAGCCTTCTTAAACATTTCTCAACTTAGTTTAGTTGTAGATGAGGATTGAAGCTCTCTGCTAAAGCAACGAATATTCTGTTGAAACAGAACAATTTTGGTTGTTTAGATTTGTCAAGATTCATTAAATTTGGGACRAGTGGGAAAATGTAGTTGCATCAAGAAATGTGGACTTCAGAAAAAAATTAATCAAAATAACTAACATTTTAGGTTGATAAGAAGGAGTGATGACATTCTCATTTCCCTCCGTTAGCCTCTTGCCTTCCCTCGTTAGGATCAAAGCTTACGGTTTGTTCTTCTTAATCTGCTCCACTTCCCACCCGCAGAGATTACAGCCCTCAGCATTGTATAAGCCCACATCGCCTCACCTCTCACCTCATAAAACCAGCTGGATTCTCTCCAGTTGAACTTGTTAACTCACAAAGTGTGAAGTTTTCATGTTATTTCTCTGCACTATACAGGTTACAGAGGTTGTTTTAGAATTTTAAACTGCACGGGCATTTTGACAACAAGTGGTTGGTTTTAGATTAAAAGTTTTGTAAATCTTGGAGAAGAACAAAGAACACTGACCACTAATGATGCAACATTTAATCCCTTAAAACACCCTACAAATTTTGCTGTTTTTACACTAACAGTATTAAATCATGCTATTAAAACAACTCACGTTGATCTGAAAATGTTGCATAAACTTCTCTGTTGGCATATTTCTAGAACACCACAACCAACAATTTACAATTACTTTCTTATTGTTCTTCGAGCACAGATGGATTATTTAAGGCATAAAGCTTACAGTTTATGTAATGAAAAAAAGGACTAAAATAATTACAAAGAGCTTATTGACACTTAAACAGGAATGACACAAGAACACACTCTTTCTCATCACTTGAAGCCAAAGAGCAGCTCTAACCATTCTTCAATGCATCCTATACTTCTTTTTATAGGTTCCGGTCACACAAATRCTTTGGGTAGATTGAAGTCATTACTCTACAAGAAGATCCTACAACACCCAGAACCCCAAAACATGTAAACCCCCTCACCAACCCTACATGGARAAGATCTAGTTCTTTCAGGTCATTGCTGTACTTGAAATCAAAGGTTTTCCTCCTTTACTACAGTCACCTTTACATAGAATCTAGACAGTGATGCCCTGAAAGTTGGAACAAACTTTCCAGCTCCTCTTTTATAGAAATTGGGACCACCACTCTGATTAGCCATTCTACAGATGTCGTCTTAATCCTTTATTACTAAAGAGGTAAATCCACCAAAGCAACTCTAAGGCAGCTTATTAACGTCCAGTACCTTCTCAGACATGACCCACTCCTGCCTGCTGTTGTGGAGTATTTTAACTACCTCAGCAATCTCTGCAAAGGAAATGGGTAGGAGTTGGTACAAATAAATTCATCAATGTGGCAGTGATGATCGCTGGATGCTGACTGGTCCAAACAAAACTTCAGATAATGTGGACAGAAACAAGGAAACTGTGGCSTGGCTGCAGCCTGACGAYAGTCAGGGAGGTGGAGGATTTTGCGATGCTTGGGAAATACAGAGCAGAACCAGTCGATGTGTAAAAGTAAGCTAGTGTTGTGCTAACAGCTGTGTAGCCACTGCAGGATCGCGCACAGCCCGTTTGTCTCAGTTGCTTTAGTACTTGAATAAAAATATTCAAACAAAGACATAAATTTTTTGACAAGACAACAGCCAAGGTGTGTCTATGTTTACATCTACATTTTTTTTCAAAGTTTACACAAGATTGTTGTAGCAAAATAAAGTGAGGTGATGATACATGATCTGTGCTATCGCCTGGCTGCAAGATTACAGAGAATGTTGATGATGRCACATCAACTTTGCATTAAGTTTAAAAAAAAGGTAACCACAAAATTAATTTACAAACTATGGAGCCCTGTAAGAACTACGTCGGAAAAAATATATTTGATCATCTGCTCTTGCAATACAACTGATTTGCCTCAGGATCTGATGTAGAAAAGCATTTACCCCACTGCCCCATTCATTGTGTCATTTAAAATGTGAATTTCTGCACAGATTCTCAGATTGGCAAAAACAACATGTTACAATTTTATTCCTATCACCACCATAAAAACGTTTCAGGCTCAGWTTTGTTTTATTTAAGCCTCCMGTTTGTCAGGTTTTAYGTTTTCACTCCAAATTTAGAACAAGTGTTCTACTGCTTAATTTCCAGAGATTTTGTTTCTCAAAAATGCTAATTTATGCCATTTATGTTTATATKGGCAAGAAAAAAAATCTAAAAATTACCCACTATTGAATTATTTGTGTACTTCTTATGCAATTGATATCAAAKCATTTACCACTTTTCTAAGGCCAAMTGAAAGTTCTTTACCATTAGCCTCTACGAATTTCTCTCCCACCGAGTTTGAAGCTCTTAACAGGTACTGAATGGTCAGAAGGATGGCAACTTATGGTTRTGGAACCAGAGGTCCACTAGGACAGCTAAGCCCTAAAAACCTTATTCTTTAGCTTGATGAAAACCAATGGCTCTTCTGGGTGCCACCTTGGCTAGCACCATGAACATTCTGGCTACAGCTATAAGAAATTGGTCATCTGGGGGTGGCAGCCTCTAGCTGTTCCAAAGTATGCCCAGCTGAGCCCCAGGAGCCTGAGCACCAGCTTGTGCCAGCATGTTCCTTCCAAGGCTTGGCTTCAGGAGRGTGTGTCTCAGTTTCTCTGTTTGCAGGGTTCCCACACTGTGGTCAACATCAAATTCAAGGACCTTTCAAGGACTTTCCAGTACCAATTTCCTCAAATTAAAGAACCACACGCAATGGCAATTACCTACTGCTACAGCAGAATGTTACCAATAACCAGGTTTATATCATGTAAATTCAATGAAAAACTGAACAACATGGAAGTTGTGGAGTCAGTAAAAA